AGATGTAACTAATTGTGCACAGTTACTGTACTTTAAACACAGAAAAACGTACGTGTCGTCAGTATTATGAAGTTTTTTGTTTACGACTGCTGTGTAATTTTACTGGTTTACAACATAGTCATGTCATGTATACTAGTATATGTAAAATAAATGAGTATTCCGTATTCTTAACTCTCTGCAAACTCTAAAATAAATCATTGACCGAGGCACGTTTTATCTACCACCATACAGCGCATGCGTGACATGCAGTATGCAGAGCAGTGGTTGTAGTTATTGTGATAACTATTCTACTTATTACGCATGCGTGTCACTAAGCAGATTTTGAACGAAGAACGAAAGAAAATTTGTTGTTGTCAAACCATGGAGGAGGTATGTCAAACAATGAAGACTATTTTAGATGATAAATGGATAAGTTTGACTTCTAAAACCGCCAACTTTGGTTCTGTGGTTTGACCAATCAAGTTCAAAACAGTGGCAAATCTGCCAAATTGTGAAAAAATAAAAATGAAGGACATTTTGTGGTGTAACCCAACACCACCCCAGCCCTACCATGGTTTTGGTTAAGGTGGGGTGCTTTTTAGGACATGACAGCTTTGGATACCCGAAAATGTTAATCATACTTCAAAATTTGTTATCTCGGCAGGTCTTTTCAGGGACGGACCGCGGTGTTGTCTATCTTTACTTTAGCCGCAGTTAGCGAGCTGCTTATTTTTAGCGACAGTAAACAACAAAGTAATTTACAAGAATGGGCTTTGTATTTTAATTTATGGCGACCAATATCAGTTTTAAGCAATTTTAAGAGTTTCAAGTTGGCAGAATTGGGAGACAATTCCTTTATTTTTTGAGCATTTGTTAAATTTATCGACCTTGGCAAGGCCTGCTAGGCCGACTTACCCAATACTCAGACCCTAGGACATCACCCGGGGAAATTCGTGTATGCGAAGTTGGGCGTAAAGTCGGTGTGGGATTCTACCCGGGGAACTATGGTAATATTTTATATTTTTTTCTATTGTTGAAAAAACAAAACCAAGCTTCGAGCTAGCATGACAACAAAAACTTAAAGTGCTTTAATGACACACAAGCTGGAAATGTTGAACAGAGATTATAAGTGTCATTCGAATAAATATTGACGTTATGACTCCAATGAGATCCAGCGAAACAAGCAAAACAAGCAACATACCGTGCCCTTCATGGTGAAGTCTGTAAGCCTACTGATTAAAATGTAACTTAAATATTTTTTCTTGGTTGTGAGGTAAATAAACAGTACACTTAAAATTAAGTAACTCTTGTTTTGTTTCAAGCAACTGTACAGGAATTAGGATATAATTGCCATCTTAATTTTTTGTCACCAATGAATAGCATCCCTATTTTTGATATTCAAATGTTGGCAGGTATGTAAATATACAGCATTTGATGGACAGACCTGTATGGGGGTGTAGGTGTACGTAAAAACATTAGAAACCATTACTAGACTACATATCCCTCTAAACTACGTTTATGTACAAAGGAACGTACACACCCGCAGGGTTCTGGTTCTAGCTGATAAATGTATACCGTAAAACCTTGAATTGAAGCCCTGGGCTTCTTCCTTTTATGCAAACTTTGGATGGGCTTCGTTTCAAGGCTACTTTTACAAAGTGAAAAGGGGGGCTTCTTTTCAAAATAAATGCTGTAGATTTTGGGAATTTGTACCATAAAACATAAATCTGCATCATGAAGTGATTAATTGGCATTAAATCACCTAAACTACTGTATAAACCAAGCATGTTTTTTATTTATTTTGTTTTTTTTTAAATTCATGTACAGTGTATATACAGTACTATCTCGAATATCTATTGGTTTCTTTTTTAGGCTAATTTTGCAAACTAACCATGGGTTTCTTTCCGAGATTAAGCTGAGTTTTTACGGTAGATGTATTCAATATTTAATATAATAACATGCCAAATATTGCTAATAGATTATTCTCGTACGTTTTTAAGCTGCAATCCCTGTTCGTTGCAAGCGTCATGGCGTTGCGTTCTCTATGGAATCGCGTCGGCTGCAGTGAGTACCTAGGTTAAAAAGGGGGCTTCTTTTCAAAATAAATGCTGTAGATTTTGAGAATTTGTACCATAAAACATAAATCTGCATCATGAAGTGATTAACTGGCATTAAATCACCTAAACTACTGTATAAACCAAGCATGTTTTTTATTTATTTTGTTTTTTTTAAATTCATGTACAGTGTATGTACAGTACTATCTCGAATATCTATTGGTTTCTTTTTGAGGCTAATTTTGCAAACTAACCATGGGTTTCTTTCCGAGATTAAGCTGAGTTTTTACGGTAGATGTATTCAATATTTAATATAATAACATGCCAAATATTGCTAATAGATTATTCTCGTACGTTTTTAAGCTGCAATCCCTGTTCGTTGCAAGCGTCATGGCGTTGCGTTCTCTATGGAATCGCGTCGGCTGCAGTGAGTACCTAGGTTAACTTTTTTTTTTTATTGCAATTTCATTTTGCACAAAACAAGATATTACAAAAACAAAAAATTGCTCTAGGTTGCATAGAGTACTCCAAAAATTTTTTAAAAAATCAATCAATCAATATAAAGTCCGTAATTAATCCATGCTAGCATGGGTTGGACTGTTCACCATGATAGCTTATCTCCAGTTATTTCTATTCTGTGCAGTTGCAAAATAAAACAAAATAAAAAAATTAATTAAAAAATTTAAACAAAAATAAAATAAAATAATTTTTTTTTAATAAAAAATAATTGAATTGAATTTAATGAATTCATAGCAATCCATCTATTTGTTGCACTATCAAACTGAAAGGAAACATCATGAATTGTTTTTGTAAAGCCTGGTTTATATAAAAACTACACACTATTGCTTTAAAGTTTTGAGTACAAAAATAAACTTGAGCGTTGTATTGTAGTGAACAGCCCATTAGAACAACTAGGCCCTATGCATTGTTTTTCAATTTAAACATATCTTTAGGTTCATGTTGTTTGTATGCATGCCATACAAACAACATAAATATTTGCTTGATACTCAATAAACCATTTTTTCAGCATCATCACAAATTAAAATCAAGTGTGATTATTTGTATCTTTTTCTGTTTAAAAATAAAATACGACAGTAGTAAAACCGAGGAAAAGTTCCCCCTACCTAAATCTGCCCCTTAAGTATTTTGATAACATAAACTCTTAAATTGACATTTAATCAATTTAAAATCTATTGCTTTTCATAGGTGTAGACGATGATATTCTGGAATTTGTTGCACAAGAGGCTTACCACAAATGGGATACTCTTGCGGAAAAGTTGAATTTATCTGCTGATATTATTGCTCAAATCTGTAAAAAGCAAAAAACTGAATACAAAGCAATGTGTATTGAAGTCCTGTTTATCTGGAGGACTAACCAACCGGCTGTCTCAGATAAGGTGTCGTTCCTTGCGTCTGTTCTCGATCAACTTGGCTTTCAACGTGTGGCAACATTTTTGATCCAAGGTAATGTCATCCAGTAGCATATCAAGGAGTATTGACATTGGGGGATAATGGGGGTGGAAAGGTTTAGCAGGGAGGGGGGCTTAATGATGTAGTGAGGGGATTTCATCATTATCATCATCATCATCTTTTAAAGTCTTTTGTCCCTGCATGCAAGGGTTAGAGCGTTGGGAGGCTGTGTAGTTAGCTGTAAGGTGGCTGCTTCTTGTGAGACCAGGTGGTACGATCTGCGGCAACTTCTGGGTTGAGGTTTAATCTGTGAAGATCCCCTCTCACAGTGCCATGACTTAAGTGGGCAACCTTGTGGGCGAGGTCCGTCAACATCAAATTGCCAATCAGAATGCTATTGTTGGCAATGTCAGTTTCACGTATTTCTCCAGAACAGATTTTGCATTGAAACAGATCATCAGGTTTTAGAATTTAGCTTTACAAATAAGGTGATATATGGTGATTTTTAACTACATGAATGTAATTATTTTTTTGCTCAGCAAATTTCCAGCAGGTGGCGCATTGGGGCTTCATCGAGGGAGAATGCCCCTTAGCACCTGCTTTTGATGTCTTCAAAATAACATAAAATATTCACATATGCAGTACTTATAATTCAAAATTTGCAATATAAAATTATCCTTTCAAAGGTTTATTTAAAAATAAACTTTTAAGAGTTCACTAGCACCCCAACTTTTAATGGAGTAGCCCAACCCCTCCAATCTGCTCTACCTCCTTAGTAATCATTTTTGCAATCATCCCCATCTTCATCAAGCAACTCCTAAATATATCCCCCACTTCCTTCAAACATCACCAAATCAAAAGTTGCCCTACAGTACAGTATAAGCATCTAAGCATTCCCGAGCATCACCGCCTTTATTACTGAAACTTCCTACCTCCCTTTAGTGCCCTTAACTCCCATAAGTATCTTCCACCACTCAATCCCACACTTTCCACCCTCCCTGCCTTTCTAAGGATTGCACCTCAATCAAGCATTCCCACCTCTCTGAGCAGGCCCACACCCCCAGCCTTCAAGTATCCGAACTTTTCCCTCATTTCCCAATCAAATTTGTATAGCTAACACATCACACATGACTATAGAAAATATAATCTACATTTTATTATGCTGTAATATACCTTTGTAGGGTTAGACGATGTTTTTCTACAGCAGCTGTCTGTTGAGATTTCATCATCATGGGAGGGTGTTGCTATGGAGCTTGGCATGACAAAAAAAGAGATTGAAGAAATTAAATATGACCAAATTATGGACAAGTCCAAACAGGCTTATGAAGCCTTCATTAAGTGGAAAAAACGACAATCATCTGAAGTGGATAAACTTGGCATACTGGCCAAGGCTTTGAAGATCAAAGGACAAGATGATTTAGCCAACCATTTGCTTGGTGGTATGTATATGAATAATAGTCTGATTTAAATATTTATTCAAATAAACGCCCCCTCAAATAAATTTAACGCCCCCCTCTATAGCCTCTTTTGGAATAAACGCCTTCTTCAAATAGAATGCAGTGAAATTAAGGGCGTTTATTTAAGTGTATAAGTATCCATTTTACACCAAAAAACTTAAATGCCTCCCTCAAATAGACAACCCCTCAAATACCCTTTTCCAGAATAGATGCCGCGATTGTTTAGAATTGACAGAACTATAAAAAAAGGCAGGGACAGGGCCATTGCCAGAGTATCAGAATCTGTCATAATATTGGCCTTTTACCTATATCCACTATTTTATCCATAAGCCTCTAGTTTGACAAGCACTATTATAGAAGAAATACTGTTACCAAAAATATTGTCTTTACACACTTGCAATCATAATGCTATAAGTCTTTCAGAAAAAGAAAGGAGTTATTAATGATTTTTTTTTTTTTTTTTTTTTTGGTCAATAGGTCTCGAGGATGGTGCCATTCACCTACTTTTAGTCCAGCTTAGAAAAATTAAAGTTGATAAAGAAACATTATATAGAGTTCTGAATTTCAAGGAATCACATTTAAGATATTTTCAGCGGAAGTTTGTAAATGAGTTTGCTCTAATGAAAGCAATGTTGTTTGCCTGGAGGGCTCAGTTGGATCGCACTAAGGATAAAAAACAGGAGTTGGTAAAGTTACTTGGCAGTAATGGTTTCACAGACGTCCTCAAAAATGTGTTTTCAGGTAAGTTGTACTCATCAGTCATAAAAAAAATTATAATCTTTAAAAAAAAAACCAATTTAAACATTGAATAAATATATACTTCCTATTCAGGGAGTATATAATTATAGAAATAACACAAGTACAAACATTGCATCAACCAATTAGGAATGGAGAACCCAGGATTTTTATATTTAGTACAGACATAAATGGATGAAAGCATGACAACTCATGGAAGTGCAACTAGAAAAAAAAATAACAATTTATTTCAGAATTTGAATCCTGGACCGTAAAAATAAAAGGTGAACAGCTCAAGCTCTAAATTTATAATCATATTTTTAATTTTCCTTTTTTTCTTTTAGGTAATGACCAACTAGAAAAAATGGACACTGACTATGTCGAAATAGACTATGCTGATGCCGACCAGGTTTCAGATGAAATTATTGAAATAATTGCAGAAGCTCTAATTGAAATAGATGTTACAGCATTGAAAACTTACTTGAAAATACCCAAAAGTAGCTCATCTACACATGACCTAAAAGATTTTGAATTAGAAGCACGTCATTTATTGATCCAATCTAGGGAACAGCATAAAGGTAACTTCAAGTCTGTTCTTGCTGAAACACTTGAAAACATTCATAGAAAGGATTTGGCAGATATGTTGAAAGGTAATTTTTGTAATAACATAAATATTGACACCACTAAAAAGACACAAAATAATATTTTTAGAACTTTGGGGATTATGTGAAAACACTTAAATTACATTATTAACAGTTAATTAGGCTAATTTTATAATCAGTTCATTAAAGCAAGGAAGCAGCTTATTTTAATTTTTGCTAAGTGACACAAACTTATTGGCGGATTCTCAGAATGCCGTAGCTAGGCCACATCTAGATTGAAAGATTGGATTGTTTAACTTACCTAAGCATAGTGACATCCTTATTGTACCATACCTTAGACAGGGCCCTTTCTATTGCAACTGTTATTAGTTAAAACATGGTTAACCAATATAATTGTAGTTATTAGACATTATAACCATACATTCTTTAGCCAAGAAAATGCTTGACAATGTAATTACGTCGGAATGCATTTTAACAAACTGTATTGGATTTTATGAAGAGACAACTTCTCTGTGTACATAAGCTTTATTGAATTTAAATTGGATTACAGATAAACCTAAATCTCCGGAAATTGAAACAAAACCTATAAAAGCTTCCAAGTCAGATGATATGGCAGTAAGTAGACCACCCTCAGAACCGAAATATGTAAGTAGAGTCACCTCAGAACCTAAACATAATTTTAGTGTTGGATCAATGGTTGAAGTTCATGTCGCTGGAATACCCATGTACGGTGTTGGAAAGGTATTGCAGTGCAGCAACAGATGGAACGTTTGGAGAAAAACGTTACTTTCAAACAGCCCCACGCAGAGCCCTCTTCATGCCTGTTTCAAAATGCAAACCTGATGCTCGTTTCTCAGCTCCAACAGAAAACTTTGGGGCTGAACAGAGACCAGGTAATATGAAGACCATTCTGCTATTCCTTCCTTTGTTGAGTGATGGAGTCCCCTCCCACTACATACAATAGAGACACATATACAATTTATACTGATTAGGCCTATGTATGGCAAAGACAAGTCTAAGCAGTCACTCCATGCCCAACCCATTACAGTGTTAAAGAGTAAAGAGTAAAATGGAAGTTATAAAATGGTAAAAGAATCATTTAAATACGACATGTTGTGAAGTGACAGGCATTTAAATATACAGCTGTTTAAAGAACAGTATTGAGAAGTCAACCTTCAAAGTTTACAATTTTGGCAATTTCTTAGGCAGAGAACATCACCAAATCATTAAAAAATCCTGTTTTAACATTGAAAATGCCATTGTTAAAATAACAACATAGCATGATGCATAGGTATATCAAGTGTAGTTTAGTAAAATAAAATATATTTCGAAAATTTTTGACATTCCAAAATGCTTTGGTCGTTATCTCCAAAACACGATTTTTTTACTTTTCTTCGCCACATATGTAGAAGCAGTTGGCGTATCGATTGTGGCTTAAACTCCCAACCTTTAGGTCAGGGGTTTAAAACTTTCGCTGTGCAATTCTCCATTGGGCAATGCCCTCTATGTTTGTCTCTACCCGAGAGTATAAATGGGTACCTGTTGTGGCATTGACTGTAGTAGTTTTGTGCTCTGAGTACATGTGCATGACTAGGTATACACCTCAGGTAGAAGTGAAGGTTGCCCTTCGTGCTCATTTGCAGTTGTATGTTATCCAGTGACCAGGGGTAGTAACACTCAGCACCCTGCTTATCATTTGCATTATTAAAAAAATTTACATTTTTTTTGATAGGTCATAACTCCAGTTTATAAGCATTAACAAGACTTATTTCAGATCCACATGAAAGAATGATTATTGCTCCATTGCATTTGTGGGAAAGGCAGGTGACTAATATAAGACCAAAGAGAGTTATAAGGTTGTGCAGGTACAATTTAGTTTTCAGACTACATTCCGAACATAATGTTTATGTTTGCATTTTTGACTTCAGATTATTTTGTATTTGATTCACCTTCGGTAACTGAAATCACCATACCACCAATGCAGTCAAAACAACATGACTATGGTGCAATGGGTATCCAAGGAGATCTGAATTCCTGCTACTTAGATTCTACCATTTTCAGCATGTTTGCATTTGTGGATGTTTTTGATGAGCTGCTGCATCGTCCTGGTAATGAGAATGACCTTAAAGAGTACACTGAAGTCCAAAGAGTACTAAAGGAAGACATTGTCTACCCATTAAGGAAGTAAATAAATGTCTAATTTCAGTTTTTTTTTAAATATCTATACAGTTTGCCTTAAAAGTTGAGACCTTTCTAACTTTAAGACCACTTTTTCGACATACAGTACCGTAAATGCTCAAATAAGTGCTGCTGTGCTTATAAAATTTTTGGAGGCTTCATTCGAGAGTGGGGCTTATAAAAAAAATCTTGTCCTGTTGCTCTCCGTGCCTATTTTCATGTTACCTGTCTCACATATTTCCGTAGTTCAATAGGACTATCACAGGTTCTACGTCATTGTAAATAAAATGTTTATAAAGAAATGCTTGTGTCTTCATTGTGTTATTTATTCATTTTAACACTGTATACAGTACATTGTATTAAATAAAAACCCTGTTTCTCAAAGTGTTTCGTTACACACAGGATAATGTAATATATTCTTGATTAAGCGCCGCTGCTCTTAGCGAAAAAAATCAGGTTTGGTGCAGCGCTCATTCGAGCATTTACGGTATCTATTAAAATTTATACCATGCTATATTCTCACAAGATGCAAAGCAGTGTCTCATTATTTAAAGACAGGAAATTTTTGTTCTTATGTTGAATCTGATATTGCAATATTTTCGGTTGTGTACCAATACAACATGTAATAATCGTAAATTTTCCAATAACCAGCATAGGGGCTTTAAACATTTTTGTAGGATTTAGTGTAGGGTTAATTCCAAGAATGCCATTTAATTTAAAGCAGTGCTTATTTTATAGTTGCATTTTCACACATTATTTTGCTAATGTTGAACATGCTGTGTTAGCATATTGTACATACTTACAATGCGATATCAGTTATTAAACAAGTATTCCAATAATACAAGACCATGTTGGATATGTATACTTGGCTAAGCGCCCCAACAGTATATTTAAAATTAAATCTCGTAAAAGTAATGCCACCTGCTAATTGTCGGCTGTCTAACCCGGTCTTCACGACTAGTTGCAAGCACCTCATCACATTGAAATCTCCATGGGATCGAGTTTGCCGAATCCTGGTTTATGTAAAAAATATTGCTATTTATATGCATGTCCGTTGGAATTCCTTAGTCTATGGGTCTAAATATTTTGAACCATCTTTCTTTGTGTTTATAGGAACGGCATTGTTAAAGCAGAAAACATTAAGAAACTTCGTGAACTTCTAGATGCACTGGGAACAACTGCTGGAATGAGAGATCAAGAAAAGGATCCAGAAGAGTTCTTGACAACCCTCCTTCAAGAAGTATTGAAAAGTGACCCTCTATTTAAGATTAGGTATGGAAACCCTTGCATTCATGTGGTGCAATGACTGGGGTAAACAATCAAAGCTCATTTATTTTCAGTACAAATATACTGGTATGAAAAGTCCATCAACCAGGCAAGTTTGCACACCACTTGCTGTGGCCCACGGTCAATTCGCTTGAGTCAGCTCAACCTAGCCAAACGAGGCTCTGTCTGTTGCAGCCGGAAAATATATAGATAACATTCTAAATTCTGCATCTTACTTCCGATCAGCACCAAATTTAAGGAGGACCATATACATGTAACATTGTCATTGTGTTGAAAATTTGAAGTAAATCGGTCCATTGTTTTTGAGTAATGCGTCTGGAAGGACACAGCCACACAGATAGATGCATGCTATTGCAATACCCTTTACTTCTCATTCGGAGAGGGGAAGGGTAAAAAGCACACTGTCTTTCGGGAAAATATGTTAAGTTGTTGGTCCCATGTATAATATGGCATTGGTACACATTAAAGAACGCGATACAGTCTACTGAAAAGAGTAAGAGATTGTTTTACGGTATGTGGCCCATGACCATCAGAAGTGTCTCACTTCTCTAGGAGTATGTCGTCAAACTTTCTTAGGTTATCCTTGGTGTTTACACTGAACAAATCCAATCCATTCCATTATTTTTATGTAATAATTTTCCAGGGTTCATGGAACGAAAGCTGCACAAGAGATGAATTTCTACCAGATGTTTATGGAGCGTGACGATACGTTAAAAGGAACTCCGAACGTACAGACTCTACTCGAGCAATCTTTCCTCAACACCGACATCAAGTTTATTGAGATACCGTCGTGCTTCATTGTACAGATGCCCCGATTCGGCAAAGGTTACAAGCTGTACAACCGTATCTTGCCTACTCTCGAGCTCGATATCACACACATGCTGGAAGATTGTAAGTTAAAAACTAAATGTTTTTGTTTAGTTTAGTTTTCTTTAATGCACTAAAACTCAAAGCATTTCACTTAGGTTTCCAACTTTTGGGATCCTTGAAGCTTTATCTTATTAAATTAGAATAAATATTTGCATTGTTCATTTATCTTCTGCCTAAATAAATAATATTAAATAATAATAAAAATGATAATTATATTAATAAGTTAAGTATAAAAAAGTAAGGAATTCAAAAATTGTTCATAGCTTAAAACCGACGGTATATCAAACAATTCAGAAATGTATAGATAAAAATATTTTCATTTTAGTTCCAAGACCTTGTGTTGTGTGTGGACGTCTATCCTACCTAGAATGCCGAGACTGTAGCAGTGCAAAACTAGGAGGCGAACAAATTACAGCCTACTGCCATTCATGCTATGACAGGGTAAGCAAACCATACGTCACAATTATGTGATCGGCTCTGGCAAAACCTGACATTTTTCGCAGTTTCTAAGTTTGCACAAGCACCCAGAAGGTTCGAGAACCAGAATTTTGAACATTTTCAAGATTTTTGCATTTTATAAAAGAAGATATATTGAAGAACATTTCTGCAAAATATTAATCACTAAACTATTAGAGAATGTGCACCGAGTTTAAGTACAAATAGTATGACAAGCCATCAATCACTATATTTATTATATATTTAAAATTATTTTTGAAATACAAATCTTACTAAATTATTGATTTTGGAATCTTAGGAAGCTGTTTCTTCAAAACCTACATGAGTGATATCCAATGAATTAAATATTTATAAGTTTGTTAATACTCAACCAATTCTCATCAAATAAACACTGTTTCAAAGAGGAATGCATATAGAATCTAAAAATACCAAAACAATTTTGAACTTTTCCGACAAATGGCTGGTTTTTTGACAGAGCCAGTCATATATAGTTAACCATGTTTATATATTTATTTTAGTTCTAATATGTCAATATCAATAGTAATGTAATTGACAAAACAAAAGGAAAAAATTTGCAGAAAGTAATGATACTCCAAATACAAAATAGCTAAAATATGCTAAATAGTAAATTACAATTACCCTTATTCAATTAATCAATTAAATTTCACTAGGTTCACAAGAAGCCCCAGAATCAAACCCATGGAGAGCCTCGCCTCCTCAGTGTTCCTGAACACTTTCCGAAGGAGCTCGACGAAGAGGAAGAACGGAAGGAGCTACACACTGAAGTGATGGAACTTTTTGCTGTTGTCTGCATTGAAACAAGTCATTATGTAGCATTTGTTAAGGCTGGAGAAAAGGCTGATTCACAATGGCTGTTTTTTGATAGTATGGCAGATAGAATAGGTGAGTTGACTGCTTAGCCTAGTTAAGAAAAAAATAATTGTCTAAATTAATAAAAAATAATATATACAATGTATACGTATATAAAGCAACTTTCTGTTGAAGAGCTATGCTTCATATGATTATAACATATTGTTCTATGTGAGCACTGTTATTATTATTTATCCATTTGTTTATATTTTGTTTACGGTGCAGCAAACTTAATTGGAATATTATTTACGATGATTTCCAAGCTGCGACCTATAAGCTTTTCTAGCTTATTTATAGCTCCACTATGATGTGTGAGCGTTTCAGTCCTTTTTGTGAGAGAATATCATATTATATTCTAATAAAAAATTGTATTTTAGGAGACTTCGATGGCTACAACATTCCTAAGATCACACCACTCCCGGACTTCCAATCGTGGATTGAGAACCCAAAAGCTTACGAGCATATTTCTGATCGAGAATTGAAAGAGCCATTAAGAAGATTATTATGTGATGCATATATGTGTTTCTACAGAAGTACGACTGTATGTTACTAAATAATGTTCACAGAATAATGATATTTCATTGTCATAATTACAAATTTGATTTCATGTGTACAGACAATTCCATATGAATACTATTCTATTATAACATTGCTTTATACCTGTAAACAAGTTTTTCCATATTCTAAAGATATAATTAAGATACATTTATTAGTCTATTATGTTTTTCATCAAAACTTACCTTAAGTTTTGCAAATGAGGTTTTATAAATATTAAACAGTAATTATCTCATATGTTTAAATATATTGTTTAAAATTGGCAGTTGGTGAGGTATGCCACCAGCAGACTACTGCAGTCCTGGCTGTAGCAAATATTGAAATGCTTTGCTGCAAATTTTTTTAGCTCAAAAGAACTGTCCGGAGTGGACAATGGGGATGTAAAGCAGCTCCCACTCCTAAATAGTAGTAATATTAATACTATTTTTAGCCTCAAATTATTAATTTTGGGACCATAGAGTGTATTTGCCTAATGACATATTGCTGTCGACCTAGGATCCAGACCCTAATTTTGGGTTACTCACTCTATTGTGCTCCATACCTAATTTAATTGTCCAGACAGAGATGTCCGAAAGGGGGGCCCAAAGTGGGGCCGATTGAGATGACACCACCCTACTACATTCTAAAAGGGGGCCGGCCTGGGCCCCCGAAATCTGCCCTCGACCTAGCAAAAAAGACAAATGCAGTCGAAAGTCCAAATAGTTGCCAGAAAAATATTATATTGGTGAGATTCATTGGGTTGCCAGGTGCCGCTATAATTTAATTTAAATATCTTGGGAAAATTTGCCAACGAGGGGTGTACAACATCAAGGGTCCAGGTTTGTCCAACAGAGTGGAGGAAATGCCAAACTTTTTCCTATTCAAAATAGAGTAGCTTTTTTTTTTTATAGAAGCCAAATAAATAAATCATCTGTTTTATGTCACCTCTCAATAAGGATACACTCTTTGTATTGAGCTAATACTAATTGAATTAAGTGTTTCAATTGCTAACTTTATATATTTAATTAATTAGATTTCAATATTGGAATTTAGAATAAGATCAAAATGTTCTTGCCCATTACCAGATAATTATAAATATCACCATTCCCATATTCTCTGCATGGGTGTGGAATCATAATTGCTTTAGTTATAAATTTAGGGAAGACTTAATAATAATAATAACAATAACAAACATTTATAATGCGCCAATTCAAAGATTTATCAAAGGCGCAGTGGACTAGCTGTTGCACTTTTCAATAACTTTCTCCTCCCCTGAGGGTCACTTCATGTTTTCTGCAGCCAGCAAACCGGCGCACCTTCATCTGTCCTTGACGGGCCGAGTCAACCAGTACACCGGGGTAAAGCCCCTACTCGTCTCGAAAAATGTATTGGGTTCTTTAAAGTGCACATGAGCATTTGTGTACACTGGGCCTACGGTTTATAGTCCTTACCCGAGAAGACTTGTTCCACCACCAGAACTATAGGAGCGGGCCGGCCGTGAACCCATGCCGATATTGTTGGCTATGATTACGGTGCCCCTTCCTTAACTGCTCTGCCATTTCAACGTCAAGGAGTGCTGCCAGCTTTTCCTCATCAGGGGGCCCATTGTTCTCCAACATATGAGCCAGGGTTCACACCCGCCTAAACCCAACCATCCATGTTTCATTTTCCCGCAATAGATTTTACCATGGCTCCCCAGTGGCTGGGCCAGGCACCCCGCTGGCTGGGCCCGGGCCCATCAGCCCACCCACTAGCGGCACCCCTGAAAACTTCTGTAAATAAGTTAAAACTGAATATTGTTTATCTGTATCACACTAAAATGTGGTTAACATTTGATCCTTTCAAGTATTTTAATTGGATTTTCAAGGATTTTAAAATAGACGTCCTATAGCGCTTCAATTGCACAGCAACAATAAATTCTAGGACATAATGGTCACATTATAGTCATCTGCACTCTGTCGCTTGAATTTTAGAATGCAATTCATTCATTAAATAATGTTATCTGTTTTATAAATACTATAAATGTTATCATTAGTAAAAACATTATTTTGAGAAATACATTTTCTGCATAACAAATGCTTTGTTTTTGTGGTGTTATTTATATTCCTGGATGCTTAGCACTAAACATATGCACAATGGTGTTTGTTAAATTCAATTTGACGATTGTAGGCCTATGTAATAATAATAGCAACAACATTTATGTATAATATATTTTTTTATCATTTTATCCTCTCAGACTACTGTGTACTCTCAGGTGGTGCCAGGTTTTGCCAGACAGTGGGGGGTGGGGGCGTGGTTGAGCGTCACCTTAATTTTTTTAAAGTAACACAGGGGACGGACCATCAAAAAAATTTGATAATTTAGGGGTTTCAAAGGCTTACTTAATCGATTTTAGCATCTACTTATATATATATATAGAAATACATTTAAATTTATTTTCACCCGACGAATTGTGGTTTTTTCCCCCCGACGGCCACCTGCTGGCGCCACCCTGTTGACTGTGTGGATTTGTTTAATAGTTTATTTCTAATTATCTCTTTTAATGTATTACAGTATATGTATATCAGCTGCACATAGTAGGCCTATATATACCTTTTAGTGTGCAGAAACTTTCAGTTTCTTTTGCTGGGAGCACACATAGATAATTAGTATGCCAGTCAATAAAGAGTCCAAATAAATTATTATGATTACAATTTTTCATTGTGTACTTCTTTCTGTATAATGTAGTAATACGTGATAGCATAGAGCAATGGAATGGTAAGGTCAAAAAAATATTTTTGTTGAAAAGTACTTCGAAAATATGTAACTAAGGTTAAAAACTGTGGTTAAGGTATCACATTATATTAATTATATCTCGAAAATAGGCTTTTCAAACATACAAATATTTTAGGTTCCTTCCTTGTTAAAAACATAGACCTATATACAGTATATGTTTTGCCAAAACAAAAAAAAACCGTCTCAAAATTTTAGAGACCTCAGGTCAGCCTGCCTTGGGAAACATCTTTTTGAATTTAATCGTGAGTTATCCATAATATGGGAACGATGATGTTATGATGCCCATCAGTGGCGAATCCAGGAATTTTAAATAGAGGGGCCTAGGAAGGGACTTTGACTGATGGAGGGTCCATCCACCTCAGCCCCACAATGGTTGGGGCCTAAGAAAATTTACGATTATGGCACCTCTAGATGGACGGATTTTCTCAATTTTTTAATAATTTAGGTAGGGTGGGGTGTGGGCTGGCGAGCCAGTTTCCTCTTTCCCCTTGAATCTGCCACTGCCCAAATACCATCAAATCGAGTATTTGTTGTAAAAATATATAAATTTTATATATTTTAAGCTCTGTTCACTTTATCACATTTTATGTGACAAATACATATCATTGGCACATATGGTGACAACATTAATGGCATTATGTGCACATTCCACAAATTTGTTGCAAAATGTTTGTGTGGATAGCAGTGACGGAGAAGTCTTGAAGTAGGGGAGCTGTTGGGGGAAACAAAGGTGAGTGGGGACTCGATCAGTTGAGGGGAACTAACTCGCAAAATAAGGTGATTTTTAACTGCTTGGCCGTTATTTTTTTAGGGTGAGGGGTGAAACTGGGGGAGCGAGTAATTTTCGGAGATACGCCACTGGTGGATAGAGCTTTAGTCTCAGGATGAGGAATAGAGAAAAAAAAATTGAGCACTGTCAATTGTATCTAATTTTCTGCACTCTTCGGGAGCGGTTGGTACAGTGGTTGACTATTGATTGTGTCCTTGGGCAAGGCACTTCCCCCTACATTTGGTTATCTCCACTACCCATAACTATAATGAATGAATTCCTAGTAGGATATACTATTAGTCTGCTGCTTCAATAAATATAAATTGAAACATAACGGAAGAATCTGGCAAAGAAAGAAAAGAACTCAACCTCCGTCGGAAATCATACCCGGGACATTTCGCATATCACATAAGGAACGTCTTAATTATTTGATCGATTTTATAGTTTGATTCTGTATTAAATTTGCATAGCCAAGCAAATATATTTTTTTTTTTTTTTTTTTTTTTTTTTTTTTTTTTTTGGCTGATTTAACGGGGAGGAGCTTTTAGCCGTCATTAACACTAGTTGTATGACCAGAATTCTTAGGTTAGTAAAATGCATTTCAGTAGATGTTAGTCTTCAAGTCACCTGTAGTAAATGGAACATTTCCGTAGCAGCTAATAAGTGCAATGAGTGCAAGTATGGGTTGCCCATGCATGTAATTGCATAACAGTAGGCCCATAATAACAGCTATGAAATTCCAAAACGAACTGGACATAATAAAGATTTATTAGTCACTTTTCTTGGGTTTTACAATTAATTTACGAGATTCTAACAAGTTTGATCGTTGTCTATCGTCCTTAGGGACAATGTAGCCATAGTTCCTGATGTTCCTGGACATTAGACATTGTGTGTGAACCTTTATATATTTCTGGGTCTAGAAATAATGACTAATGATAAATTTCCGTAGTGTCTTTTTGTATTTCCGTAATTCGTCCATAATTATGTACAATTTCTGTAGTAGCTAGGGACGTTCAATGAACCTTCAGAACTCAGGGTGAATGTTAGATCTTTATTGCTTCAAAATTAGTCTTTAAACTTGAGCTAATTATAGCGGTAAGTATTCTAGTTAGTACATTATATAATAATATATAATAATATCTTAGATTGCCTTATGTTATAGCCGTTCTGGCTGACTGAGACATAATTTTAGCGCTCACACCGAAAGTCAAGCTTCTAGGCCTCACTGTAAGTAGCGC